CGTCTAAAGCAGCGGTGATTTTTCACAGTCGTGAAAAGCATCTTATAGGGAGAACATTACTGCTGCAGGCATAGAATCGGTACTGCTTTCGTGCTTCTACAAGAAAATTAGGTACCCATGCGCACACCCTCTTGACCATCCTCAGTTTATCGGACATAACTCGGGCAGCAGTTGCAGCAGGGATGTCGACAAGGATCCAGCCTCTGTGATCAGACATTCAGCGCTTGACTTCATCCACCCTTTTTTCTTGTGTAGGATGAACATGGGACCATCCACGACAACAAATTTTTTTCCTTTTCTTCCTTCTTCGGGCTCCTGAACCAAATCTTCCACCTTGCATTTCGAGAACACCATTACACGCAACTACTGGTCCAGCACAGGTCAAATTCAAGCAGCGAATTTCTTCTTATAATCTTACTCGAAAATCCGGCGCTGATTTTGGCTTTTTCAGGCTCACTCATTGTCAGGCTTCTTTTCGATTTCTCTAGATTTCCTTCTGCGACTAGGCTAGCCAAATTTCACATATAGATAGCTGAAGATGGTAAAACGATATAAAAGCCTGCAGTCACGGCCCCTTCGCTTTCCTGCTATTCCTCAATGTGTCTTCACATTTTTGAATGGAATGACCTAATATTTACGGAGCTACGGCTTGCACCACATCCAAGTGGTTCCGTTGGTAGTGCCCAGTGGTCCCGCGCTTAGTAGTCAAAAAAATGGAGGGCAATGATGTTACTTAAAGATCAAAAGTCCCGTCAGAAATACCACTGAGAATTTGCTCGCGTTTGACCTTACACTCTCTGATCGCATCAAGCTTATTATGAGGAATAAGTGGAATGCGAATGCGATAGGCGACAAACCCTTTTCGTGAAAATCTGAGCCTCATACATCTGAAATTCAGGTAACTGTTCAGGTAAGCACTGACATTCAGCCCTTCAAAAATATCCACCACGGTTCAGGAGAGTCGAAGTGCATTTTGTATTCCACTAACGATAATGATATTCCCACTGATCGTCAAACTGGAAAATTGAAGTCGGAACATTCACTGAAGGGACCTGATACATTCCGTAGAACGTAATGATTTCACTAACAATGACACTCCGACCGCACATAGAACGTGGTTGACTTTACAACGCATTGCGCATTTCGATTTGGTTTGACCTGATTTACTAGATAGCTGATGATTTGAACCCCATTAAGCGAGTTTAGCGATCAGGAGCAAAGAAAACACGAATTGAGAACAGAAAGTCGGAGTATAAAAGAAAACGAATTCGCCTAGTAACCAGACCATGTCGGAAGAAAAGATTCTCATTGGTGTGGCTTCGGCCTTTTCCATACTGACCATCGTCGCCTGCCTGATCGTCGTTCCATCTCTGTACAACACCATTAATGAGATGCACGACCAGGTTCTCGAAGGAGTCACTGTATTTCGCGTCGAGACCGATGCTGCCTGGAACCACATGATAGACTAC